TGACACGGGAGAGAGCCACATACAACTGACCATGGCTAAAGACCGGACGTGGGAGATATAAAGCAACTTTTTTCAGACTTTGCCCTTGACTTTTATTTATTGTCATTGCGTAGCATATTCTTATTGGAAATTGCCTTCTTCGTAATGTGAATGGATGTTTTGAATCTGTTGGTGATAGAATAATTCTTGGAATAAGGACCTTTTTTCCAGGGTTTGGGCCAGTCATAATTTCTGCCTCCAAAACTCTTTTTCCCAACTGAGTTATAATTAGCCGTGTCCCATTGCAAAGGCCTTCTTTTTGATTGATATTTCTTAGCATCATCACAGGAGCTCCAACCTTTAAATCTAGTCGGTGACTCGGCAGTCCAGGGAATTCTAGAGAGTTCAGATATTCGACGGGGTATAAAGATTGCCAATCAGTTCCAGGAGCGCTATCAATGCCAATGCTATCTGAGCTTAGATACTCTGTGGTTTGTCCTGGAATCTTGGAGAGGAGAAATGCATTTACTTCATGCACAGTTTCGTTTCTGGGTGTTAATATTGCCCTCTCTTTAAGATACTCATGATCTAGGAATGAGTTTTGAAACTGTGGATACGCAGCTTCTGAAATTTGTTCCAAAGGGTCACCCGTACTTTGGAGCATTAAGGCATTGTCTATTAAAATTCTATCTTCTCCGGCCAAACCATTAGGGTTTCTTCTTGTTGCTGTCCCCTTCCCCACTTTCAAAATCCATTCTGCAAATTCTATTTCAGATGGGCAAAGTCTCATGTTATGTGTTAACGTATAGACGTTACACGATGGCCATAGATATGAACGACTCAATGTCGCTAGCACAGTCTCTGGACGTCCTCCTTGTTGCACCACAGGTAATATTTGTTTGAAATCCCCACCAAGCAGTACAGTTTTACCTCCAAATGTCTTTTCTGCTGCTGTTTCATCGTTAAGTGACATAAGATCTTTCAACGTACGGTCCAGTGTTTCAAAGGTTTGCCGGTGGGCCATAGGGGCTTCATCCCAGATGATTAATTCTGTGCTGGCTAACAATTCGGCCAACATAGTACCTTGCTTTATATCACATGTTGAAGTGTCATGAACATTTAAAGGGATTTTGAATCTTGAATGAGCTGTTCTCCCCCCAGGTAGAAGGAGTGCTGCAATACCTGATGATGCCACAGGAAGTACAATCCTTTTTTGTGATCGCAACCTTGAAATAATTGTTCTGTATATGAACGTTTTGCCCGTTCCACCAGCTCCGTATACGAAGAAAAGTGTACCCTTTCCATTGTCGACCGAATCTAAAACCGCATCGTACACTGTTTTTTGTTCGTCATTCAGATTGTCAAACAGTTTCTGGTGTTCTTCTTTCTCCCATATCTCGTCAAACTGCAATTCCTCTCTTAGTAGACTGTTTTCAATTTGACGAAGAGCAGCTTTATCAGGTAGCGGCATGTTTGGAAAATCCCTTAACGATTTTTCGTTTTGCATAAGCAGCTTCTCAATCTCTATAAGAGTATATTGTTGTAGTTCTTTATCTGACAGTTGTAAATTCGGGAAGCTGAATTCCTTTTGTTTCTTGTGTTGAATGTCTTCGGCAAGTGATTTCCAAGACTTCTCCCAAAGATTATGTGGTTCCCCAACTTCACAATATAGTAGAAGTGTAACAAATAGATGACGTAATTGTCTTGCAGTTGCCCATGTTGATGCCTCCTCTATTGCCTCACTCCATTCATTGTCACCACCTAGT